GTCTGTCTGTCCCTGCAGTTTCTCCCACGATGATGACATTGTGTTCGAGGACTTTGCTCGGTTGCGGTTGAAGGGGCTCAAAGATGAGAAGGACGAGGATGACCATTTCTTTTAGAGTGGCACTGCCAGGGATGGAGGAGGGGGTAGGGGGGTGGGGGGAGCAGTTTGGGTGGAGCGGGTGGGGCATCAGGGAAGAGAGAGGAAAAGAAACCAAAAGAAGGTCAGAAAGCCCCCACCCCTCCCTCCCTCCCTCACCAGGGGGCAGTCAGTGAGAGAGATGGAGAGCCCACAAGCCTCATGTCAAGGTCAGGGGTGAGAGGTGGAGGGGGGTGGTGGTGTGGTGGCAAGGGGTACGGACCCCTGGATCGAGAGGAGGTCATCGTTTCTCCGTCTTTGTGGGAGGTGTGTCTCTTTGTAGAATATTTCTAGACTCAGGCCTTGCTATACGGACTCTCCGCGCCGACCCCTCACCCTCTCTCGAAGCCGAAGGTCTTCGTCTGAGTTGAATTCTACTTTCCAACCTCGACCTTGTGATAGCCCCTTTCCTCTCCTGCTCAAGGGGTGTCCGCTCTAGTCGTTTCTTGCGTCCATCTCTTTCCCAGCTCCCCCCCGCCCCACAACTCTCCCGGCCTGACTGCAAACTCTCCCCGGCCTCCGTCCATTGAAGAGCAGGCCTGTGGATGCCCAGTCCCTAACCAATCTGTTGGGCAGTTGTTGGCTCAGTGTTGGAGGTGAAGGGTTTGGGGGGAACTAGGCGACAGGAAGGTAGAGACACTCCAGGCCTTTGGAGGTACGGGAGGGAGTTGCGTATGTGCACGTTTGCCCAGCCAATTTGATTCGGTCGTAAATGCACCACCACCCCCCTCCGAAATGGCCAAGCCACTCAGTCCAAGGGGCAGTTAGGGAATAGTCGGCCAACACGGTCCTCTCCAGGTCCCATGAAAGGGTGAAGGCAGGTACTGGCAGGTGTTAAGTATTTATTTTTATGTGGGTTTGTAGGGGGGGGGTCACAGAATGACACAAGCTGCCTCCCTCTTTGCCCAATCTCCCACCCTCTCAAACCCTGCCTGTGGGAGTCCCTCTCTGCTCACTCACACAGCCTATGGGCGGTCATCAATCACAGCGAGCAGTGTGCAGATCCCAGAGACCGAAGACACACTCGTCTTTGCGGTTCGTTCTCACACACTCGCTCGCGCTCTGTCACATTCCCTCGTGCTCTCACTCTCACTCGCACTCTCACACACACTCTGCACTCTCACTTTCTCACATGCTCACACACTCACTGTCTCATTCTCTCGCACTCTCACACACACTCTCGCCACTCTCTGCACTCTCACTTTCTCACACTGTCTGCACTCTCACACTCTCTGCACTCTCTCACACTTTCTTGCATTCCCTCGTGCTCTCAAGTGCTCTCTTGCGCTTTCTTGGTCTCTCATGCTCGCTCACACTCATTCACATGCTCTCTCACACTCTTCCTTGCAAGTTCCCATGTGCTCTTTCTTTCACTTTCTCTCGCTCACATGCTCTCTCACTCACTTTCGCTCCCCTGCACCTGCTCCATATGTCCCTCTGTGTCTGTCTGTCTGTCTCTCCCTCTCTCTCTTTCTTTGTCTCTCCCTTGTATAAAGAGCAGACGACAGACCTCCCACTTTGTAGAATTCTTGTGTTTTTCAAACCATTCAGTTTCTGCCCCTTTTGGTCATGAGCTGTGTTCAGCAACTCATTTTCTCTCTCTCTCTGCACCTCTCAAGCAGGGCTTCATCAGAGATCACCCTCCCCTCTATCTCACCAGTACCCTCCCCACCTAGTTTGGCGTTATAACAGGTCTGATGAGGTGGAGACATGCTAAGGCAACCTTTCTCCAGCTGCATCCGGGATTGAACATTCAATTGAATCAATTTCATTTGTCGGAGCATTTATTGCCCCGACAAAGAGCCACCCACAGTTTGGGGCAAATTTAGCTCCCCCTCCCCCCATCTCCCTCGCCCCGCTCACCCCAGTAAATATTCTGCCCATTTCTCCCACCCGTTGTGGGAGGGGGCCAGTCCCTCCCAAACCCCTGGCCCAAGGCACTCGCCTGGCAGGAACTACGAGCCGATAGGTCACGGTGCGTCTTCGAAAAAATTCTCTCCCTTTTCAATCCTGCACGTTCACCTTCAGAGGTGAACTTCCTGAATTTTCTTTTGTCCGTTTACAGGGCACGGACATCTCTGGCTGAGCCCAACATTTATTGTCTGTCCCTAATTGCTCCCTTGAGAAGATAGCGGTGGGCTCCCTCTTGAATTGCTACAGTCCAAGTCGTGTAGGGACGCCCAGACGGGACCAAACAGCGAGGGATGGTGGGTACATTGGCCAAGTAAAACCCCGAAGTCACAAAAAAAAACACACACACACACCCACACGGTGCCCTCAGGGAGGGAGTTTCAGGTTTCTGACCCAGCGACGCTGAAGGAACGGCCGATATATTTCCAAGTCAGGATGGGGAGGGGCTCAGAGGGCAACTTGCAATGTATCCCATGTACCTGCTGCCTCTGATGCTTCTGGATGGAAGTGGTCGTGGGTTTGGAAAGTGCTGCCTGAGGATCTTTGGTGAATTTCTGCAGTGCATCTTGTAGATGGTACACACTGCTGCGACTGAGCGTCGGTGGTGGAGGGAGTGGGGTGTTTGTGGATGTGGTGCCAATCGAGCAGGGGCTGCTCTGTCCCTGGATGGTGTCAAGCTTCTTGAGTGTTGTCGGAGCTGCCCCCATCCAGGGTAAAGTGGGGAGTATTCCCTCACACTCCTGACTTGTGGACGGTGGGACAGGCTTTGGGGGGAGTCAGGAGGTGGGTTACTCACCACAGGATTGCAAGCCTCCAAACTGCTCCTTTTGACTTGGGGGAGGAGGTAGTTCTTTTGCCCTCCCCAACACAAATCAGCACCCCCCTCCCCCCCAGAAGTAGGGTAACAAGCCCTGCTGGGCTCCCTCACTGGCCACACTCCTATCGGGGAAAATCGAGGGGAGTTGGAACTCCGCTGGTGTCAACTCGGGGAGACCGAGCTCCCCCAACCCCAAAATTTCCCTTCCCAAATTCTTGAAAGGAGGGGAAGTATTCCAAGGGGCAAAATAGGCGCAGAGGAGTCAAGAGAAGCTGCAGAGAAAGTTGGGGGGTTGGGGGGGCGGTGGTGGTGGGCGCCCTGCGGGAGATGTCAGAGGCTCAGATCCCAGCACCTTGAGGGTTGGGTCGACAGGTGGGGAAGAAATGCAGAATTTGGAGGGAGGACGGAGACGGAGGTGGCGTAAAAGCGTGAGGGTAAGGGGAGGGGCTGTATCGTGCAGTGATTATGTGGCAGGCAAACAGTGGGATGTTTTTTTAGGGGGGGCCATGGAATTCAGCTTTCCCACGAGGTGTGTCTGTTCGCCTCCTGGTGCTAACCCGAGTTCAGGGATGATTGGGGGGTGGGGGGGGGGGGGAGTTTGGGGGTGGATGGCCACAACGAAGAACTGTCCAAGGGAGGTAGGGAGGCTCAGGTAGAGAACCAGAGGTGTGAGCCTTGACATAAAACCACATTGTAAAGTTATTTCCAGCTCCCCTCCAACCGATTTAAAGACGCTAGCCGATGGCAGACTTCCCAGGGGAGCCAATATTGCAGAAATGTACTTATGTGTATAATTTTGAGCTTAATATGGATGAAATGTATGTCTTTTATCTTTCGCCAATGTCAATATCGTGTTTTCAGGGTGGATTGTGGGCATTTCAGTCAGAGCAAAGATCTGTCACCTTCCTATCAATGTTTAATATGTCCGATGAAAGATGTTCGAAATTTAATGCATTTATTATTAAACTGATGTATTTACTACGATCCAGCAGAATCATTTTGCTTTTATTATCTTCCAGGGTGGAGGGGGTGGGTGGGCGAGAAAGACTTGCATTTCTGTAGCGCCGAGTCGGGTGAGGTGAGCGAAGCTCAGTTTGGGGAGCAGGGAGTTAGATCCTCTTCCATAGCCCACCCTGAGGTTCACTGGAAACGTTGAGGACGCAATTAATAGTTCTTTTGAGTTTGAATTGAGAGGTTTTTTTTGCTTTTTGTTTGAATTGAGAGTTTTGTTTTTGCTTTGCCGCTTGAAGGCCGTAAGGGAATAGGAGCAGGAGGAGGCCATTCGGCTCCTCCAGCCTGCTCCCCCATTCAGTAGGATCCCACACTCCTAACATCCACTTTCTTACCGTAACCCTCGATTTCCCGACTGATCAAGAATCTATCTCAGCCTTAAATATGCGCAAGAGTAAAAGAGGGATATGGGCCAAATGGGAGTAGATTAATTTAGGATATCTGGTTGGCATGGGCGAGTTGGACCGAAGGGTCTGACTCTATGAATCTGCCACAGATTTCTGTGGGGAGAAGGAGTTCCAAAGACACTCAACCCTCTGAGAGAATAAATTCCTCCTCATCCCAGTCTTAAATTAAACCCTTTTTTTTTCCTGCGAGTCTGCGATGGCCCAATGGTATCAGCACTGGACTGTCGATCCAGAGAACTGAGTTCAAATCCCACAACAGCAGATGGTGGAATTCGGCTTCAATAAATATATGGAATGAAGAGTCTAACGATGACACTAAATCCATTGTCAGTTCTCAGGGAAAAAACCCATCTGGTTCATCAGTAAAAGGAAACTGCCATCCTTACCTGGTCTGGCCTACATGTGACTCCAGACCCACAGCAATGTAGTTGACTCTCAACTGCCCTCTGGGGGCAATTAGGGGTGGGCAATAAATGCTGCATAGCCAGTGATGCCCTCATCCCATGAATGAATTTTTAAAAAGTCTCCCATAAGGGGGAAACATCTTTTCAGCATTGACCCTGTCAAGCCCCTTAATATGTTTCAATGAGACCCCCTCTCTCCGATGAGTAGAGTCCCAACCTGTTTAACTTTGGCTCGCAAGGCAATCCCTCCATACCTGGAATCATCCCAGTGAACCTTCTCGGAACTGTCTCCAATGAAATAATTTCATAAATAAAGACCCAAAGGACTAGACTGGAGTTATAAGGAGAGGCTGGATAGGCCGGGGCTTTTTTCCCTGAACTGCAGGAGGCTGAGGGGTGACCTTTATAGAGGTTAATAAAATCATGAGGGGCATAGATAAGGTGAAGCACAAAGGTCTTTTCCCCAGGGTAGGGGAGTCCAAAACTAGAGGGCAGAGGTTTAAAGGTGAGAGGGGAAAGATTTGAAAGTGACCTGAGGGGCAACTTTTCACACGGTGTGTTGTCTCTGACTCCAGCATCGGCAGTTCTTGCTATCTCATGATTGATATATGTTTCCGATCGGCATGGACGAGTTGGGCCAAAGGGCCAGTCTCTGCTGTATTCCCCTGCGTAATTCAGCAACAAATTGAATTTAACGAAAAGGCACTTCACCAGAGCATTATCAGATGGGGCATAATAGTGGCGCATATCAGAAAGGCATTCAGAGTGGTGGCCATCAAAACCTTGCTTGAGGAAGGTGGTCTTTGAGGGCCATCTCTAAGGAAGAGAGAGTAGGGCGGAGAGGATCAGGGATGGACCCCTGAAGTGGGTGGTTTGTGTTGGGGGGGAGTGGGGTGGGGGAGGGTGATGGGGTGGTGGATAATGTCTGGGTCCAGGCAGCTGAAGACACAGTAGCCAATCGTGGGGCCAAGGAACACAGATAAGAGACAACACTCTGGAAAAAGTCATCCCAGACTCTCAACCTTCACTCCCTGTATTTCTCTCTGTCTTCACAGGTCCTGCTGAGTTTCTCCAACATCACTCTCACTCACTCACTCACTCACACACACATATGCTTACTCACACACACACACACACTTTCTCTCTCTCTCATGCAAACGCTCTCTCACACTCACACAGACGCACTCTCTCTCACAGACACACATGCACACACATGCACATGCACACGCATGCACACACATGCACATGCACACGCATGCACACACATGCACATGCACACGCATGCACACACACGCACTCACATCCACACACACTCACACTCACATGCACACACACGCACTCACACCCACCCACACACACACAAACTCACACACACATACACAAACACACACACCTTCACACACACACACACACACACACCCTCACACGCACACACACAATACATACATACATACATTCTCTCTCTCTCTCTGACACACACACACACACACACACACAAATACATACTCTCTCTCTCTCACACACACACACACACACACACACACACACACTCACACACACACTCTCTCTCATTTGCTCACTCACTCACTCACATACACCCCCTCAAACCCTCACACACACACCGTCACACACACACACTCTCACACACATACTCACACACTCACACACATACTCTCTCTCTCTCACACACACACACACACACTCAGCACCTTGGAGCCTCAGGTTGTAGCTGGAAACCAGAGGGGCATTCAGCCCCTCCCAGTCTGTGTTTACTCCACCCTCTGCTGGTTTGTGACCCATTTATTTCAGGAAAGTGTGAGTGGGGAAAAAAAACCACAGTGAGAGCACTTGAATGGCCTCATCACGTTCCTGAGTGTTGGTGGGTTGGACAGTGTGTGATTTTCCTTTTGGCCAAGTTGGCGATATCGACCCTGGTGCCTCAGTGCAACACTGCCCCCTGGTCCTGAGGAAACTGCAACACATTGAGTGACCCAAGTGAGTCACTCCATTCAATCTGAGCTGGAGGAAGCTCACTCCGAACAACACTCATACCAAAGTAACAGCTCTGTTTGACCTTTCCACCTTTCCCAGGACAGGAATAAAACTGGGGATTCTTTGCAACAAATTGCAAATTTGATGTCCCTTCCACTACCACATTGTTATCTGATTGGATTTAACGCCTTATTGGTGTTTAGCTTTCAATGGGAAGGAAGAGAGGTGGAGGTTTGCGGCTCTTTATCTCAAACTTGGGTCTGTTCCTGTGTTTGTCCCGTTGTGTGAATAGATAGTAAAACATGAACTTGTGATGTATACCAGAGAGATTCTAAACACCGAGTCCCTTGCGATGCAGGAATAGTTTATTAAGCACGAGGCAATTACCATTGATACAGGAACCAATTGGAGCCCAATTTCACTCGACCCAATCCAACTAACTCCCCCTCTCTGGAGTTCAGCTCCACTCATCCCACATAAACACAATCAATTCCCAACTGCCTTCAACCCAACCCTTTGGAGATAAACTCAACCCAACCTCGTTAACATTTACAAATGAAAGAAATGGTCAAGACCCCAACTATTCTCAGTTGCTTTCCTCGATCGACCCTTGCACAGAGAAGGGGTGGATCGAGGCCCTGACCAACTCATCATCAATGTCCTCAGCGTCCAATTTCCATCTTCACTCTCACCGTTCAGACGTGAAGCAGGAAGTGGGGCCTGTTTGTGTTTGCAACGGCTGGTTTATAAGGAAGAGCTCCCTGGGCCGCTCACCGTGACCTTCAACAGGAAGTTCCATCCCCAATTCCAATTCTGATTTACTCCTGTCCCAGCAAGTTATCATCATGTTGTAGGGGGGCACAAAGACCATTGTTCTTTCAGAAGTGATTCCGAGAGGTTTTCAGTTCATTGGAGCCCACTCCAAGACCACTCAGTTGGCTGGGAAGGAGCCCTACTCTAATTATGTCTCCGTTAATTACAATTGGAAAACTCAACTGAATTTTTATCTCAACATATTTTAAATAATGCACCAATCAAGGAGGGTTTGTTTCCGGATAAGAATACTGCATGAATAGAGCATAATTATTCCAGAGCCTTTCCAGTCAGAGAATTGCAAAGGCTTTTTTCCTCCTATGGGGTTCTGTTGTCAGTGAACCTTCTCCAGCAAACAGGGTGGTCTGTGATGGTGGGTTCTAGTGTTATCCTCCATGATACTGGTCCCAATGGTGAAGGGACATCCTTTTGTAAGGAGCTGCTGGTTTCGCACAAAAGCAGGTTAGGGGGCAGAAGCGACGATTAAGTCTGTCAGGAATCCAATCCCTAAAGGGTTTCCTGAAAGTCAGGAAAGGAATGTGAACGTACTTTCGCTGTAAACGTTGACTTTCCATGGGCGGAGGTGAGGCATAATGTCATTCTGTGGTTTAAAAAAAAAATGAAGTAGGAACGTTAAAAAAATCAATTAATCGCGGAGACAAAAGGCTTGGTGTTGAACTGGGGTGGACAAATTCAGGAGTCACATGACACTAGGTTATAGTCCAACAGGTTTATTTGAAATCACAAGCTTTTGGAGCGCTGCTCCTTGTCTTATGAAGCTGGATTGAGCACCTCCGCCTATACTCTCTGGATTTTAGGAAAATGGGAAGAGATTAAATTGAGATATATAAGACGACGAGACAGACACAGAGATGGCATAGAAACCAACTATTTCCCAGCTACCAGGACGGCTCAATGGACCCAAAATATTAACTCTCCAGAGTGTGCTGGACTTTTCCAGACATTTCTGTTTCTCGTTCTGATTTCCAGCATCCACAGTTCTTTCAGGTTTTTATTTAAGAAGTCGAGAGGATGTTTCCCCATGTGGGACAATCTCGAATGAGAGGAATAAGGGGGTGGCAGATTTTAAAACAGACATGAGGAGGAATTACTTCTCTCAAAAGGTTGGGATTGTGGTGGATGCTGAATAAATTTGTGGATAGAGATAGATTTTTAATGGGTAATTGCAGAATAAGGGGGGAGAAGGTTAAAATTAGACCCAGTCAGGGAGCACCTCTTTAAAGGAGAATGAGAAATCATTCCACCCAATAAAAACTGTTGTCGATGGGACAAATGGCCCCTTCCTGTTCCTATTTCTTTCGTTCTGATTGGCCCACGATCTCACCGAATGGGCAGA